GACCACGTGTGTGATTACCAGGTGTTTGGAAGGGTCTGCACTTAGCTTTGCTAGGGGGAGGTCTTTTTTCACCCCTTGGCATTCCTTTAAAAAGCCCTTTAGAAGAGACAGAAGGGGCTGGTGGGTTTTGATCCAGGCCCTCCCGAGGCTATCCTGTGTTTCTGTCTCTCTGCCCTCTATATTTCTGTCTAAATATTTCTCACTTCTCCCAACTAAGAGCACCCTGGGGAAAAAGTGGGAGCAAATCTCCCACAGATAAAATGAATGTGCTGTACTGCCATAAAGTGGATGTTTTAGTTCTTTTACACTACTTTAAAAATCGCCAGAGATTGGATGGTGTGTAAGCAACAGTTTCTTCTCACAGCAGTAGGGGCTGGCAAGAGCAGGAGACTGCAGATCAGTGCAGTGTCTGTTGAGGAGCCACTGGCCTGTTCACAGATGACTGCACTGCTCACAGTAGCCATGGGCTGAAAGTGGCAAGCAAGCTCTCTGGAGTCTTTTTTTCTAGACACTAACCCCTTTAAAAATGATGTAATCACCTCTCCAAGTCCCTACCTGGTGGGAGCTAAATTTCTAATATCATCACTGTGGAGGCTAGCATGTAAGCTTTAGGAGAATGCGTTCGTCTATACCAGTGGAAAATATCTGATTTTACAAAGGGGTATAAAACAGGCCATCCCTCTGAAAATACCAACATTCATGAACTCCAGCAAAATAGGATTATTAAGCAGATGGCTTGTGAGCACTTAGATAATGAGGTGGTATTCACTAGGAGCCACTATAAGTTCAGCACAACTAATCACATCAAACTGAATTTGTTTTAATAGGATTACTAGATCAGGGCCAATCATGGACTGTGTGAAGTTTTTCGTTGTAAGTTGAAGCAGTGTGGTCTTAATAGTTTGGTATGTATGATAATGACTGGTTGCATAATCATTTAGAACACAAATGCTTTAAAAAGAGGAAATACTGCAAAGTGGTGCAAGTTTGGGTTCTAGAAACAGATTGCATGGACTTGAATATTATTTCTGTCACTTAAAGGTTTTATTTTTGCCATAGCCAAATTTCTTCATCCTTTAAGCTTCAATTGTTTATCTGGAAAAATAGTAATAATACTGATTTACTTGCCTTATTGTTGTGAAAATGAAGTTAATTGTCATAGAACATGTAGAATAGTGTGCCCTTAATAAATAATATATAATAAATACCTTTCATAAGTGAAAGGCATCTTTTTAAGCAGAATGAAAATCTGCAATGACTCTCTTATGTAAACCATTTGACATTTTTGTTCAGAACTTGCATGAAGACATAAGAATGTTAACTTAATGATAACCCTGATCTGGAAAAGAATGAGCCAGCACATTGAATAGCAGAATGGGGCTGACATTAGACCCTAGCAAGCTTAAAGATAACCTTGACTTGGCAAAGTAAAACTTAGTAAGAATAAATATGAAATCCTCTCTTTAAATGGAGCAATTGATTTTACCTGCTTAAAAGAACTTTGAGGCTGCCTCAGTGGGTAGAGGAGTTTGCTGCCAATCCTGACAACCTGAGTTCAATCTCCTAGAAATGTACATGGTGAAAGGAGAGACCCAGCTCCCAAAAGCTGCCCTGTGACTTCCACACTTATGCTGTGGCATGTGTGCATACACATATGCATGCACACACACACATATATACACACTAAATAAATGTTCTTTAAAATCTGAAAATTGTAAAGATTTTTTAGTTTTTTGAGACCAGGTCACCCAGTGTAACACTTGCTATCCTGGAACTCGCTTTGTAGACCAGGCTGACCTTGAACTCAGAAATCCACCTTCCTCTGCCCGCCAGAGTGCTGGGATTAGAGGCGTGCGCCTCCTGCCTGGCAGGATTGTTTAAAAGAGTTTTGCAAGGAAAAGGGTTTGAGTTGGCTAGCTGTTAATGATGCCATAAAGTTTCAGAAAATACTTTAGTGACAGAGGAAAAAATAGTTCCATTAATGAGTTGGCTGTATTATAGCATATATTGATATTCTACTCCAGACATTGCAGTCTAATAGAAGCATCAGTAAAGTGAGAAAATAATCCAGGAAAATGACACTTTTAACATGAAAAACAAAGTGAAAATATTAAAATGATCTTCAAATGCTGGAAAAGATAAAGTATAGAATACATATTGGATTCACTTTGTAAGGCTCATTTGGAAGAACTAGTGTCAGGAAGGCAGGGTTTGTTTCATGTGAAGAATGGTATGATGATTTCCACTCCTTAAAGGTAGAATGGGCTAACTGTGAACAACTATACTCCAACTTTAAAAGAATTAGAGCAGAGGTCAGATGTTATCACAGTTGAGGCATTCGGTGTGAAATTACTCCTTTAGAATATCTTCCAATATTAACATTCTATAATGGATGAAGGACTTCAGTTTACACATGTTGACTTTCGTTGTATTTTCTTCATGAATTAATACTGGTCATCTGTAGCCTACAGTACAGTTTAGATTCTAGAGTGATGTCAGTAGCAGTTGAAGTAAATTTAGAAGAATACTTTGGTTCCCAGTCATCACACAGACCTGTCACATATACACAACAGTCTGGTGCTCTTTCAAAAATTGAATTGCACAAGGGTTCAAGAACATATTGATAGTCTGGGTATGATGGCACATGTCTTAGTACAAACACTCAGGAGGCAGAGGCAGGATCTCTGTGTTCAAGGCCAGCTTCATCTACATACTGAGTTCCAGGACAGGCAGGGCTGTACAGAGAAACCCTATCTCAAAAAATGAGGGAGGGAGGGAGGGAGGGAGGGAGGGGGGAAGGGAGAGAGACAGAGACAGAGACAGAGACAGATTGAGATTGATTTAGAGCACAGGAAAACTTACTGAGTATACACAGGACATAGTCTTTTAAGTCCTTTTAAGTCCTTTTAAGTCCTTAAGAGGTACGGAATAAATAAATATGAAACAGTATATAAAGTATCTGTACCACCCAGTGTGTTTGCTAACTCGTTTTTCTTGCTGACATTATGACTTCTGTCACCTTTTGATCACTAGAAAGCCATCTTCCAGTAGTCTTTCAGGAGCTTCCCACATGCACAGTGATGATGAACATCATCTCAGTTTCTGTTTAACCAGTATATGCAGGTTTCAAAGTGAAAAAAATGCCGTTATGACAACCTCAGACATTGGAATCTAAATAATAAAGGATTTTTTCATGAAAGTTCTTCCTTTAGATATCAAACACACGTAGAATGATTTATTGATGCACATGCTTCTGTGCAGAAATTATTACAACATCTTCGCAAAAAATGTGTGTTCTTTCAAACTTCTTTAGCAGACCTTTAAATACTATGTGGAAGATATTTGAAGACAACTGTGGTTTCAAGATAATAATACAGTTGCCTTGTTCTCCTGTTTTTTTAGATAAGTGGCACTAGAAATTATAGATAATTTTGGCAAGAGTTCAAGGGTTAATGTAGCAGATAAATAAAAGGAATTTTCTGTAAATTGAGACCTGCATTATTTCAGTTGTCTTGTCTTTCCTAACCTAACTCATTTAATTTTAAAAAGTAAATACTTAAATTCTTCCTGACAGTGTGCTCAGCTTTTACTATCATTTATTACTTCAATTATACTTGATATCACTTAGAACAATCTGCCATTTGGAAATCTCAGGATAGCCTGGAGCTTAGTATTAGATCTGGCTGCTATTGTAACATGTACAGCATATGACATTAATGTATCACAATTAGATTGGATCATCCCTCCTGGTTACATTTATTTCACATTTCTTTTGTGTTCAGTTAACATAAACCTATTAGGGAAGCTGACACATGGGGATGGCTGTATAGGAAGGATATTTTTAAAGTATTTTGATTAAAAAATGAAATTATAGGGCCATAGCTTTTCTAGGTTGTGTAATCTCTTTTTTGCTTTTTAGAAATGGCATAGTCTAAGTCTGTGTTTATGTCATGCCTGTGTGTCTACACAGGTGTAAGGAGTTAATTCCTGGGCTAAGAAGGGGCTGAAAAGAACCTTTCCGAAACTGAACTGAATTCCTCTTTTTGTTTCAGTCAGACATTAAGTCCTTTGCCTGCCTTATGGCTTTTAATCAAAAAATACATATATAAAAAATAGAAAGCACTGTACATTAGCTCAGACCACCTTTATCCTTCTTTTGTCTTCTGAACTTTCCCAACCACAGTGTATCTGAAAGTAATGGAAAAGCCAGTGGAAAGCATCTATGAAACATAGACTCACATGTTCCAAATATTCTAGATGATAAAATTTTATAATAAAATTGAGGTGTATACCATAAGCTCCATGAGGAAAACTCAATAATATACACTATGTTCATTTGTTAACAACTTATTAGAAACACAACTTTTAAGTGCTTTTCTTTCTTGCAGTTTTAATTATTGTAACAAAACCCTCTCAAGATTGCCAAGAGCACCTTTGTAAGCAGCACAAATATCTAAGTAACATTTTTAGGGCCCATTAAATATCAAGGCATCTGTTTGGAGGATTTTCTAAGTTCCATGTGGTGGGGGGCGGTGCTAAAAATTAATTTGTTAGACCAAACATAACTGACTTTCTCCTGCTCAATAGGTGATTATAAAATGTATAGTTACCTATTTTTACTTCTCTTCTGACTGCCTTCTTCAGGCCACCTTGCTACTTATTAGCACTTCAGAAAATGCATAGAATAAGAGGAGAAGAATCTCAAATCAGTCACTTTTTAACACAATCTTTGAGAGGTTTGAGAGTGGAATTGCCTTGGTACAGTTGCTAGTTTGAAAGAGTGGGCTGTGATTCTTCTCTAGGTCTTTCTGTCTCATTGACCGTGGGAGTTTCTGAAAGTACCTGGTCTTCTTCTATGTGTTTGATAACTTTGAGTGTTTGTATTTTATATGTCATGCAAATGATCGACTATTTCTCTTCTGTATGCTCTGTTGTCTAGCTGTAGAACTATGCTCACATGGCTTTTATAAGCACTATAAACTATTTCCTTGATTTTCCAGTTGAGACACCTAGGAAATGATGAAGTACACATTGTTTGGTCAGAACATACTAGAGACTACAGAAGAGGAATTATTCCTACGGAATTTGGTGATGTCCTCATTGTAATATATCCAATGAAAAACCACATGTTCAGTATCCAGATCATGAAAAAACCAGAGGTGAGAATTCGTAGCTTCTATAATTTCACAAAATTGATATATTAAATGGCTACAAAGCCTAAAATACTATGTCATCCTCAGGGAATTGTCTTGCCTTGAGCTACCATTTTTGTCAACTATATTTAAATGGTTTTTTGTTTTTTTCATTTTTGATTTTTTTTTCCAGTAAAAAAAAATTTGCACCCAGCTAGGTTAGCGCTCTACCACTGACCTATATATGCACAGCTTTAATTTATCAACTCATAAAAGTGACGGTTAGTTCTCAAAGCATAGGTTTTGTTTTTTCACTAGCCAAGCCAAATGCATTCTTGGTTCTGTACTTATGTTAAGTTTGTTTTTGGTCCCTCTGACAACATCTGGGGACATCTTAAAGAGGAAAGATGCATGTATTTTCTCTCATGATTTCAATCTGTGGTCTTTTGGCTCCTTGGCTCTGTGCCTGTGGGTCAAAGCTCTGGTTACCCAGTCTCTTCCCCAGAGCTGCCCTTCTAAACATGGTCCTGGGAACCAAGCATTCAGCATGAGTTTGCGGGAGACATGTCCAAACCATAAGAATAATAAAACTGCTATCTCACAAAAATGACCATCTAAATTGGCAGAGGATATAAATTACTTAGTTACACAAAGCACATAGTTCTTTTGAATGGACACCCTTTGACCTTGGGCATTTTTGTTTGTTGCCTTAGTGGGAGTGATTCATCATGTAAAAAATGGAATTTGAATAATATTTTTACTTGAAATAACAACCAAAGAGGAAACAGAAACACATTTGTGTGCCAAGGATCTTGATTGTTTTTATTATAATCTTTCTACAGTTTGAGTGTAAAATTCTGTTCTCATCTCTCTGTCAGGTTCCCTTCTTTGGTCCACTTTTTGATGGTGCTATTGTGAATGGAAAAGTTCTGCCCATCATGGTTCGATCCACGGCAATAAATGCTAGCCGTGCCCTGAAATCACTGATCCCGTTGTATCAGAACTTGTATCCTTTTCACCTGGGTGGTTAGTACACTCGTGAACATCTGCTTTACAAAAAGGTAAATAGTTCTTGTATAATAAGATGTTAGCACTTCAGTTTATTGAGAAGTGGCAGAGTTTCTCCCTAGTGATTAAGTGTGGTGTTTGAATGGTATGATTTCTTATATACTTTTAATAAATATTCATCTTTGACTTAGTTAATTAAAATGACATTATATGTCATGCTCTGTGCTGCTCTGGAGGTGCAGAAATCATCAAAACAATGACTGGAAAGAATTCGGTCTGCATGGGAAAACATACTGTTTTCATTACGTGTGTTTTAAAAGAGGAGTGTGCAGGATGTATTCTAATAAGGGACCAGCCATTCAGTTGGAAGTTTGTGTCCAGAAACACTTGTGAGAAAAATGAAAATTAAGCCAGTCTTAAATGATAACTAATCAGGTGGAAGAGATTGAGAACCTTCTAAACCACAACAGCATACTGAGGAGACAAGAAAATGGGACAAGATGTGGAATGCTTAGGAACATGGCTTCTGGAGCCAGCCTGTCTGGTCAGGTGCTGCTCTTCTGGAGCTGGACAGCCTCCCTGAGTTTCAGCGTACTTACCTATTAAATGAACTCAGTGAGAGTAACTGCCTCCTGAGCTTGGTCAGGCCGCAGAACAGGTTTGGTTTTCCCTTCTCTTCGGTGTCTAGAATTAAACCCAGGCCTTGAGCATACTAGGGGGTCACTCTACCCCTGAGTCATAGTCCAGTACAAGTTATGGAATCCTTAAATCTCACTTTATCTGTCAAAAGAGTCTAATGTTATATCAGCATTATTATGAGTGCTAAATGAGATTTTATGCAATTATTAATTACAATATTTATAAATAGTACAGTCAATATAAATATCTCTGCCCAAGATGAAGGAGTTGCTTAATTGAATTTTTATATTGGGCTGATTAGTGCATAAGGTGAATTCTCAGTTCTACTTTATGACATTTTTAATATTTTATTATATTGAGATAATGGTTGCCACATTGGAGGATATTCTAGGATGAAAAGAAATAATTTTATTAAAATAGTAGGCATGAACACTTTTTTAAAACAGCAAATCTAAACAGTTCCTCTCAACAAAATTGCTTAAAGAATACTTAGACTGAGGTGCTGGAGAGATGGCTCAGCAGTTAAGATCATGTATTGCTTTTGCAAAGGACCTACTCTGATTCCCACCACCCACATCATACAGCTCACAACTACCTGTGATCTGAGCTCAAGGGGGATCTGATGCTTCTGGTCCTTTGTTAATCTGAAGAATATTATATGTGTTTCACAAAATGCACAGCATCTATATTCTAATTGTTGAGGAGGAGCCAGACATTGTAGGTGCTCTTAAAGCCAAGCTGTAAGGGCAGAGAGATTGGGAAGATCACTTCAGATGAAGAATTCAAGTCAAACCACGTCGACTGACCCCCATCTCAAACACACAAATGAATGAATGGAGGAGGTAGGAAGGAATGGATGGGAAGTGACTTCTTTACTTGAATTTGACATGAAGGTTTATATAATAAATTACAACTGGATACTTGTATTTACAGGTATTTAAATATAGGAATATCTGTTAATTTTAAGTAACATTCTGGTTTCATAAATGTGCCAAATGTATGTTTTTGACATCAGAGTTTCAGTGAGAAAATTGTGTATTCTAAAATAAATCAATATACTTAACATGAATTATAGTAGGAATTGAAATAGAAGTCAGTTTTGAAAACCACCAGAGTTAATACTTTAATCCTCATCAAAGAAGTAAAGAGGTAGAATGTAATAAACTCAATTGTAATTATACTGCTGGGTCAGTTATCTTATACCCAATTACAGTACCTACTAAGATTCCACAGCATAAATTGTGCTATTTATGATCATTAAATGGAGTTTAAATTTTATCCTAGGAACATCTTCTGTAACTATGAATCTAATGTTCAGAAAATGAGGACGGTATTGATTGTCATCTGCTGCCCGAATCGATCATGCTAGGAACCAGAATTACAGTAATCTGTCAGGATTGATGACTGTCTTTCCAGCTTTGAAGCCTCTCTCTCACTTCACTGTTGTTCCGTACATGACTTGTCCTTGAGAAACATTCGTGTGACCTCTGATTTTGTCAGCTAGGTGCTTTTGTCTCTTAAGCTCAATTTGTCGGTTTGATCATGCAATTAGAATTGAATTGCCACACTCGGAAGGAAGGCCAGGCAGACTCTGGTGACCACTGAGCCAGAGGAGTGCTTCAAGTTTCATTTTAGGCCATCACTGGATTAACTACCTAGAAAGAATTCCAGTTTGTTTGGTTGCTTAGTTTTGGGTTTGACAATGGAAATAATTCTAAAGCTTTTATTTCATGGTCTTACCAGTTGTGACTCTGTTCTTTAGGTAAAAACTTTAAAGAAATTGTTTTGATCCTTAAGAAAGTTTCACTATGACTCTAAACATACATGTGTTCAGTATAATGCTGTCATTGCTTGTGCTTTCTGTTTTAGAGTGAGATTTTTGTACATGTAGGAATTTTCAGAATTTGTAGTGTGTGATCACATTAATAAACCCAGAGCTCCACTCTGTTATATTAACTGGTACATTTTCATATAACCCACACAGATTCCCTTCATATGTTATTCATCTTTAGATTGCTAATGATGACTAATACAATGTAAATGTTACGTAAATAATGAGAAAGATGTACTTTAAGGAATTGGCTTCCCTGACTGTGGGGATTGGTGAGTGAGTACCAATAATGTAGACCTAGGAAGAGTTGATGATGTTGTCAGTCTTCAGGCATCTAGCAGTAGAATTCCTTTCTTTCTCAAAAACCATGACTGGATGAGGCCTCTCTGTGTTATGAGGGTAAAGGGCTTTACTCGGGTCCACTAATTTAAGTAGTAATCACTACTACACAAAACAATAACATCTAGACTGGTGTTCAAAAAAACACCGTGTCCTTGACCAGCCAAGTTGACATACAATATTCACTGACATATTATGATTTGCTTTGCATCTTAAATGGTGATGTATGATGAATTATTATACTTACTATTAAGAGGTCAAAAATACACCTTTAGCTTTTTCTTCTTTCAGATATATTTACTGGGGTGTCAAGATGGCCAACTGGTCTATGGTGCTCGACTCAAGTATATTTATTGAAAGCCAGGGCTGGTGGCACATACCTGTAAGTTTCAGCATGAGAGTAGCCGAGGAGGGCTTTGAGCTTGAAGCCACCTGGGCAACAATAACAAGATTCTGTCTAAAAAGAAAAAAATATGTATGTATGTATATGTATACATAGATATATACACACATATAGCTGTGTCTATATATGTATATACACATATTTACACCTTAGCAAAGATTTTTGAAATGATGCAAACATTCAGATGATCTTACCCTTATAAAAGTAATAATTTGATAAGAATATGGATAGTACTGATTATAATTCAAGTAAGGTTACATGTAAATTGGAATCAGAGTTCCATGGAGAAAGAAATTAGTGTGGAATAAAATCAGGAAAGAATATGTAGAATATCTGGGTCTCAAAGGATAGTATTTGAATAGGTAGAATGTGACATGTATGCTATAATTCTTTTTTGTTATTAGATTGTTTTTTGGTTTGCTTTGCTTTGATTTTGAGACAGGGTCTTTTTATGTAGCCCTGACTGCCCTGGAACTTGCTGGTAGACCAGGCTGACCACAAATTCACAGAAATTCATCTGCCTCTGTCTCCCGAGTGTTAGGATTAAAGAAATGTGCCACCAGGCCCAGCCAATGCTATAGCTCTTGTGATTTTTTAGCAGGGGCTTTGTATGTATCTATATATGATATAGAGGATATTCTGAGATACACAGTATTAGGGGTACTATACAGTTAAAAGGCATCTTTAAAGAGTGCTTTCATACCACAACCAATATTACTTGATTTTTCTCAATCTGTGTAGATTGACTTTTTTTTTGAATGCCAGAATTGGCTTTGTTTAACTTTATCAGACAAATTACTAAATTCAATGATAATTCTTCAATTAGTCACAGTTTGTTAGCCCTGCAGTCTACTACTCAAATGTGAGGGACCTGTTGCAGAAGTATGAGAGGCAAAACTAAATGAATGGTAATTGATTGGCTCCACTAATGCAGTTCCCTTTCATTATGATGGACATTGTAAAGCTCCTTGGGGGACCTCATCAATATTACTGCCATTTCATGTTAGAAGAAAATGAGTTTCTTGAAAAATTACATAATTTTATGTATTTACTGTCTTTTGTAAATCATTTTCTTAGAAGATAACATCAATAAATATGGACTGTCCTTAATTTAATCTGTAAGAAGGAGATAGTTATAGTACCAAACTCAAGATTAGTGAGGGGATTACATAAAACTGTCCAATGAAGCACTGGTCAGCCTTCCTGTCATCTCCAGCAGCAGCTCAGAACACTGCAGCTGTGTGGGGGCTGATGACGTTATTACTGTCTAAAACACAAACCTGGGCATGCTAAAGGCTTACAACAGTTCTGATGCCTGCTGAAACAGGTCTCCATTTGGTTGATCACCTGCAAACAGTTCTTTTTTCTCTTGCCCTCCCAGCCTCGTAGTTCCCATAGCTTGGTCAAACATACCTGCGTACCTCCTCAGCCTCAGGGCCCTTCGCTGCAGTCTTCTCCCACCACACTAACACCCAGATGCTGTGTTTGTTCAGCTAAACTGAAGTCATCTTCTATGAATGTTCATGTTTTAAAACTCCAAGAATATGTACCTCTGCTGTTTTCTATTTAATATACTCATTCATTATGACCTAAATGAAACATCTTTAGGGGCAAAAAGTAAAAATAATTCCTCCATTTAGCAAAATTATTGCTCACACTGCCTCAAAACATTTTGTTATAGTACTTATGTGTTTTGCACATATCAGTAAGTTTTTTTTATTTTTTATTTTATTTTATTTATGTATTTATTTATTTTGGTTTTTCGAGACAGGGTTTCTCTGTGTAG